CAGGCAGTACTCAGACTTTGGGGGGAACACTCAGCTTCTAAATCATAGCAGGTAAAAACCAAGATAATAAACAACAGAAAAAAGTAAAACAAAAAAAAGATGAAGTTACTTCAAGTTTGATTTTTTTCCTTCGATTTTTTAATTTTTTTTTTTTTTTTTTTTTTTTGAGATAGGGTCTCATGAAGACTAGGCTAGCCTCCAATACGATGTGTAGCTAAGGCTGGCCTTGCTGATCCTCTTGCCTCCATCTGTCAGTTTCTGGGATTACAGGTGTGTGCTGCTACAGCTGCCTCTCCTGATTTCTAAGGTCAGATGAGAACTTAATTTCGATTTGGTGACATGGAACTTCTCAGCGTGGGTGACATCCTTTGAGGCTCAGTGCCTGAAGGGGATCCCTGTACAGCGGGGGCTCCTTCCAAGGCCCCAGGTTAGGCACAAACCACACCCAAATACCTGTTTTCACAGAGAGACCCTTTATTAGGTGGGGCAGGGACTAGGGAAAGGGGTGGGGACACTTGTCCTGCAGAGACAAACAACTGCCCTGGGTAGGGGGAGGACAGTTGTGGCACTTAGGCAAGAAGCTGTTTATAAAGGTAAAATGAGAAACCCGGCATTAGGATGAGCTGTTTAATTTTAATGGGGCATGTTAATTAGGTGAACCAAAGGGGGCTTCTGATTGCTGGACTTCAATACTTTGATAGCTGGACCTTGGTCAGCTTCAGGAGGAGGAAGTGGCCAAATAAGGGCTAGCTCTAGAAATGTTCTCAGGGTTGCCCTGAACTGGGTGTTCGAGATTCTGAATCCTAGCTGTATTCCTTGTCTTCTACATGACTGCAGTGACTGAGATTCACACGAACTCTTGTAGACTAAAGAAATGTGTGAGCTCACATAAGAGCACCGGAGAATATCCGGGCCTGGGGTCAACTGCATAGACACAGAGCTTTCCTTATCTCCCATTCTCTAATGGTACCTTCCAGAACAAATGGAAATATGGCCAGCCTCAGGGCAGAACAGAAGGTCTACACAGAGAAGAACCCTAATTGTCGAGTTTGGGTCAGATGCTAGGCCTTGTCATCTGCAGGCCAGCCAATAGGAAGGCTGTGTGAGAAAGGATGTCAGCTTCTGTTTGAATTACCTGCTGGAAATGAGGTGACCCTTTATAAAATGGAGGAATGAGAGCCTGAGAGATGATTCAGTCCATAAAGGACTTGTTGTAGACCCGAGTTCAGCTCTCCAGCACTCATGTAAAAAGCTGGCACAATGGTATGTACCTGTTGTCCCAGATTAGGACAGTGGAACCCCTGGGACTTATTGGCCACCCAGACTAGATGAATTGATGAGCTACAGGTCAATAAATAAATAAAGGTAAGGACTGGAGAGATGGCTCAGCAATTAAGAGTGTAGCACAATAAATAAAAGGCCCAGAGATTGATACTGGGGTTCAAACTTCAAGCTGAAGGTCAGAAAAGCAAAGCATCTGGCCACTAGCTTCTAACCTCTACTTCAGGCTGAGTGGGCTGACCCTGTCTCCACTAGCTCAAGCCTCAGACTGTAACCTCTCCTCAGCGTGGCTAGAGAATGAATTCCTCATACTTCAGTGTGACTGGAGAATGAGTGCTCCTATCTTCAGCTGGAAAATGAATGCCTCCTACTGACTGCTTGCTCTTGTCTTTTATACCTCTCTAGTGCTGGGTGTGAGCTGTAATTCTCTTTTAGACGGATTCACTCTTGTGTAGATCTGGGTGGGCTTGAACTCACAGAGATCAGTCTACCTCTTAATCCTGAGTCCTAGGATTAAAGGTGTGTACTACCACCTCCTAACTTCCCACTGCTGGGATTTAAGGTGTGTGCCTGGCTTCTATGACTTATGGCTGACATTGCTTTCTAAATCCTCAGGCAAGCTTTAATAAATCATAAATAATACATCACTACATAAGAGCGCATACCACTCTTGCAGAGGACCGGAGTTAATACCCAGTTCCCATGTCAGGCAGTTCACAACCATCTGTGACTCCAGCTCTAGGGGATCACACACCCTGTTCTGAACTCCATAGGCATCTGCTCTCATATGTGCATACGCCCCCACACATGTATACACATAATCATAAATAAGGTGGGGAGTGTTGGGGAAGACTCCCAATATCAGCCTCTGAACATAAGCACATACATTCATACATACATATAACATGTACACACACACACACACACACACACACACACACACACACACTAACGAAATAAAAAGGAGGAAGAGATGCCAAGATGTCAAAGCATTCAGTGATCACTGCATTCTGCCTGTGATGGTACAGTGTACACCTGCCCTTCTTCCCGGATATAGGAACCTGTCACTACCCGGTAGCTCTGAGACAGCCCCAGCCTGGCCATGAAACACACTGCCCTTCCTCCCAGGAGACTTACATCTATGGCATCCTGCCAAAGTTCGAGTGACAGCCATTAGTTCTGGGCCGTGGATTCTTGTGGTCCTAAGAGCTATGAGCTACATGATAAATGTATTTGCTCCCAATATGCTAACATAGATCATGAAGGCACAGGAAAATCCAAGGAGACACTGACTCTGGCAACAGCTATATGTGTTCAGTGGCTTTCTCTTACAGCTTCCACATCTGGTAAATACTTGAGGGACAAAATACCGCAGAATCATAAAGAACACTCAGACTTGGACTTAGGGATTGTGACAAGCGGGGACAAAGTTGGAGCAACAAACACAAACCCAGTAACTGTAGGAAGATGGTGCGTCTCTCTCTCTTCTCTGGCAGAGCAGCAGCGGGCTGCATTCCAGGCATGTGGGCTGCATTGCTCTGTTCTACAGGGCTGTTCCGTAAATGAGAACCCTGTCCAGGTGTGCCACTGTACACACTAGAGTGTGCCCTCATACACAGGTTCAAACTGGCACGCTGCCCCATTCAACATTGAGCTGTTTTTGCTGGACAAGGGGGAACATGCCCTTAGTCCCAGGAGACAAAGGTAGATCTCTGTGAGTTTGAGGCCAGCTTGATCTATATAACAAGGTCCAGGCCAGCTAGCACTACATCATGTGATCTGTCTCAACAAAAGAAATCAAGTCTCAAGCCCTAGGAAGGGAAAGAGGAAGTAGAGGGCAAGCAGTGAGCTTCTAGAACTGTCACCGTAAGTCATTCATCGCACTTACCGCTTCCAATCACATTCATTGGCTTAAACTGCATGCTTGGGCTGGGGAAATGGCTCAGCTGAGCAAGCATGAGGACCTGAGTTTAAATCCCAAGCATCCATGCATGTAAAAAGCTGGGTGTGGTCACATTTGCTGTTGGGGTATTGTAGGGAAGACAGCAGGATCCTTGGGCATATTGGCTGTCATCCTAACTCTAGGTCCCGTCTCTCAATCAAATAGAGAATGACACATCCAGCATCCTATATCCTCCTTTGGCCTGCACAGACACACACAGGCACACACAGCCAACAAAACTGTACGACTACAGGAAGCTCCAAGGGAGTCTGGGAAAGGTGGTTTCCAGCGGGTAGCTCTGCACCCAGTTACACTCCAGTGGAGAGCAATGAGCAGCTTCTATCCGCAGCCTCCCCTGCCCCCCACAAGGGTCTGTACTCATTCTCCCTACACATGAAGCACCCACCCACCTACCTACCACCTGGCTAAGAGAGGCCTCCGAGGGCAGAGTCCCACAGCTGCACCGCTCCATCCTCCAGTTCAGTGGTTAATGAATTGAATAGTTTCCTGCCCCCACTTCCTATCCATTCCCACCATACGGTGCAGAGTTTTAAACGGTGAATAACAACAGACTCTGCCATTAGGTGAAAGGATGGAGAGGGAACACACAGTCACCAGCCGTGGCCGCTAACGGACCCCCAGACAGACACGCGAGAGGTTTCCTGTCCTGCCACATCCTTGTCTCTTGTCTGCTGGGGTTGCCAGCTTAGCTATCTGGGAACCTCTCTGTTGGTCATGTCATCATTTGGGGACATATCTGCTGAGAGCATTGGGGAGCTGGAGGGATGGCTCAGAGGTTAACAACACTGGCTATTCCCACGGACCGTTGTTCAGTCCCCAGCACCCACATGATGACTCACCACTGTCTCTAACTCCAGTTCCAGTGGATACAGCGCTCTCTTCTGGCTTCATTGGGCACCAGATACACATGCAGTGTTCGTACAAACATGTAGACAAAACATACACATAAAATAGAAATAAGTAAAACTTAAAAAAATAAAAAATCCAGATCCACGACAAGCCTCCCTGTGGCCTTCATTGCTTAGATCCAGACCGGCGGCTTCTATCTGATTTCTCCCTCTGCACCCTGGAATGCAATCTGTATCTTCACACTGCCACAGTCAGCTCTCCACTGACTTTGTCAAGCCTCAGCATCTCTCTTGGTCTTGACCTTGACCTTGGGAGTGATGAGGCTACTCACCTGCCCAGTTGCAATGCCTTCTGTTTGGGAACCAGGACGAGGCAACAGGGAAAGAAAGACCTGAGCATTCTCGGAAAATCCACCTCACAGCAGGCCCCAGTGTCCCTCAGTGCACCTGGACACATTGCCCCTTCCTTTCCAACTTTGTTGAAAACAGTGAACCCCTCCCTGGCCTGGGTTCTGGGCGTGTCCTCCTAAGGGTTGAGAAAGACCACAACCAAAAGCAATTTAGGGAGGAAAGGGTCCACTTGGCCTACATTTTCACATCTTAGTCCATCACTGAGGGAAGCCAGAGCAGGAGCTCAAGGCAGGAATTGGAGAAGAAGCCATGGGTGGGGCGATGGGGCGGGCTGCTGCTTAAAGGCTCACTCCTCATAGCTTGCTCCGCCTGCTTTCCTAAAGTACCACCAGCTCACAGATGGCACCACCTGCAATGGGCTCGGACCCTCCCACATCAATCATCAGTCAAGAAAATGCCCCACAGGCTTGCTGGTGTGGGCACAAGGAACCTCTCACAGCATCCATGTCAGGAAACAGTTCTGTTGCTTATACTGCTGGTCTCTTCTCTCCTCTCAGGGTGCAACATAGAAAATGCCTGCTACACACTGGGTGTGTGCGCTGAGCGGACAGCCATCCAGAAGGCCATCTCGGAAGGATACAAGGATTTCAGGGCTATTGCTATCTCCAGGTGAGTGGGAGAGGCCAGTTACTGCAAAATTCATCATCCCTCCACCTGACATCCCCCCATACACAACTCATTCATTCATTCATTCATTTAGTCATCAGACACGTATCTGTTGTATATGTTCTTGGCAGACAGGGGTAGGCCCCGGGGCTCAATGCCAGGGATAAGAAAGTAAATAATAGAGGCTGGGGTCCTGGCTCAGTTAGTAGAGTGCCTGCCTACGATGCAAAGGCCGTGGGTTTAACCCCAGCATCACATAGATATAGTTGCACACCCCTATAATTCCAGCACTCAGAAGATAGAGGCAGGAGGATCAGAAATTCAAGGTCAGCCATGGCTAAATAGTGAGTTCAAGATCAGCCTTAGCTACTTGATACCTTATCTCAAAAATCTCAGCAGGGCTGAGATGGCTCAGTGAGTAGCCACCTTTAAAAGATTTTTTTTTTTAGTTTTTGAGACAGGGTTTCTCCATGTAGCTTTGTAGACCAGGCTGGTCTTGAACTCACATAGAGCCACCTGCTTCTGCCTCCCAAGTGTTGGGATCAAAGGAGTGTGCCACCACTTCCTGGGGTGTGAGCTTCTCAAAGGAAATTTTTGGTGTTGACCCAGTGGAGACTAAATGAGGGATCTGGAAGCTTTGGGATCTCATCATTCACCTGGTTTCTAGGGGCTCCTCCCTTCCTCTAACTTTCTCTCTCTCTCTCTCTCTCTCTCTCTCTCTCTTTTTTTTTTTTTTTTGTTGTTGTTGTTGTTGTTTTGAGGCAAGGTCTCACTGTACAGCCCTGGCTGACTACACAGTTATAAAACTCACTATAGACCAGGCTGTCCTGGAACTCACAGAGACCTCTGCCTCCCTTGGGACTAGAGGTGTGTACCATGCCTGACGCATTCTTGAATCTCAGCTACTGAGAGGCTTCAACAAGATTCCTGAGTGAGCGGCTTCTATCCCTTTTCAAGTCCCTATAGTTTTCTAGTCTATCTCAGACTGTACCCTAGGGGTTAGCCTATGAGCAGTTGACCCAGGGTGATCCTGCCACAGAAGGTATGTTTCAGTCCCGACAACAGCAAGTATAACACAATCTCCCAGAGGTACAGTAGAAAGACATCACACAAAAACAGCCACAGGACCTGAAGGTCACTTGGTGTAGTCTCCCTTGCCACCACCCCACTTTTATAGACAAAAAAAAAAAAAAAAAAAAAAAAATTAACAAGCAAAACCCTGAGGCTTGAGAAGTTAGGACTTTCCTGGGACTTAGTGGTAAAGCTGGGACAAAATGCAGGTCTCAAAGTCATAGTCCAGGCCACAGTCCACTGTATCATACCGTGCCAGGAGGCAGATACTCTTCCCTTCTCTCAATAAGTGGGTCCAGAACCAGCCACTCAACTTTGCTAACTTCAGCACCCAGGTGAAGGTGCCAAAACCAAGCTGGGGCAGTGACCTTGTGGCAGCCATGTAAGGCACTGTGTTTCACGCTAGGATCCAGCTTGATAAGAATCCCAGTCAAGGGCTAGAGAGATGGCTCAGAGGTTATGAGCACTTCCAGAGGTTCTGAGTTCCATCCTCATATACCACATGGTGGCTCACACTGTCTATGGTGAGATCTGGCGCCCTCTTATGGCACGCAGACATATGTGTAGGCAGAACACCATATATGTAATAAATAAATAAATTAAATGAATGAATAAATAAATAAATCCCCCAATCAGTGCCCTCTTGTGCCCTACATGTGGTTGCTCTAGCTCCCATGAACCTCCTTCAAGGGGAGTGCAGAGGGGTCTTGGCGCTGGACAGAGACTGTTGGCTAAGCCTGTGAGAATGGGCTCTTTACGCTTTAAACCGCAACAATTTAACACTTTTGTGGTGAGCTACACTTGGGTGCCCCTTTTGTAGTAGCTAGTAGAAAAGTAATTTTGGCAAATTAATGGCTGAGGAAACTGACACAGTCAACGGTGAACCTAGCCAGCAGAGCCGCTGACCAAGCATTGGTCTTTAGCAGTGTGAAACACAGATTCTGGAAGGGAAGCGCAGCCTAGTAGAGAAACGGGCTCTGAGAGCAATACTGACAGGGTCTGTGTAACAGGGAGGACCTTGTGGCTTTGTCCCAGTCCGGCCCGGAGGGGATCTGAGTACTGGAGTGCCATGTTGGGGAGCCTGGAGCCAGGGTTGCCCTTGAGAATCAAGGCTGCGATTCCTAGCTTTCTCTGGAGCTGAGGGCTGTCTGAGCTTCCCTTTGGCTTCTGGAGAATAAATGAGGCTGTGCTGGGAACATTTTGTGCAGCTGAGGACAGATCGGGATGTGTATTGTACTTTATGAAGAAATGGGGAGAAATAACTCAATTTCAAAGCTGGTCCAAGAAAGTAATGATGTTCTGGGGAAGAGAGGCCAAAGCCAGCAGAATGGTGCAGTAGCCTGCTGGCTGGCTCTGTTAGCATTTGCCCAATGAAAGGCTTTTCCCCTTGCCCATCAGCTGCTTTTAAATATGACTAACAGGGTCTTGCTATGATCAGCAGATGTCCTTACATAACACCTGCAGTTTCCAACACCCAAGTGGCCTACTCTGGATTTTTAACCCATAACCATATCCCCCAGCCAACAATGCAGTCATTATCACACTAATGATATTAAACAGAGAGCATGGATTTAGAGGAGGAATGGGAAATGCTAGCCAGCTCTTATTGGCACAGAACAAGGCTGAGCAGTCCAGTCCCCTCCCTGGGAACACAAAGGATGGAGATGCTGTGGGCATTGGCAGAGCCAGGGCCTCACTGGACTCCTAGCCTCTGTCCTCAGCATCAGTAGGCTTCTGGCTTACCACGCTGAGCAAGACCCCAGTGTGTGACCAAGGTGTGCACAAACCACAGGAAACCCTTGATCGCCAGTAAAGAGAACCCAGGTGTGGTGGTTTGAAAGAAAATGGGCCCTGAAGGAGGCGTGGCTTCGTTGAAGTAGCTATGGCCTTGTTGGAGGAAATGTGTCACTGTCAGAGCAGGCTTTGAGTTCTTGAAAGACCCGCAGAGCATGGACCCTCACGCTCAGACTCAGGAAAGGCAACATCCCAAGTCACTCATGAGAAGCGGTCTTGATGCAACAGCATGCGGCCTTTTCTATTCCAAGTGCACTGGGGTCCATAGTCATACAGCCCGTGGAGTAGAGGACTGGGGACCCCAGTACAGAATTGAGACAGCTTTTATAGGATTACAACAAAGCCTGCGCATCGTAAACCAATCATCTCATAGCATCCAGAGGCCACGCAGTGCGGGACAATCAATTTAAACCATTTTATAGTTTTTAGACCAATCATTTTAAATCATCCAAGCCTGCGCTTTATAGACCAATCAGTTTTCTATAGCCGGAGGTCTGCATTTGCGGGGACTCCTAGACGTTTTGCCTATTCTCTGAGGTCATTGGAGAGTTAGGCTGTATTTTTCCATCCTTATGTTCAAGCTGTGCCCAGTGTCTCAGCTGACTTCCTGTTGCCTGCAAGATGTAGGACTCTCAGCGACTTCTCCAGCCCCATATCTGTCTGCACGCTGCCATGCTCCCTGATATGATGATCATGGACCGAACCTCTGAACTATAAGCAAGCCACCCCAAGTAAATGTTTTTCTTTGAAAGAGTTGCCCTGGTCATGGTGTCTGTTCACAGCAATAAGAACCAAACTAAGACACCTGGGAGATGTCCAGATGTAACAAGCATATCTGAGAGCTAGTGCTCACTCTTGGCAAGAATGTTGAGTGACACTTAAAGCCCCAGCTTCAGCGTCCCTGGGGCTGGATTTCAATCTTTCCCTACTGTCCACCTAAAGTGTTTAGAAGCCTCTGGATTTTATTTTATTTTTAGACTAAGTCTTGATGTAAGCCAGGCTGACCTTGAACTCACTTTGTAACTGAGGCTGTGGCCCTGACATTCTAATCTTCCGGCCTTCACCTCTTGGGTGCTGGGGTTGTAGGTATATACTATCATTTCCACTTTAGATGGTACTATGAATCAAACCCGGCCTCTGTGTGTGATAGTGAACCCCAACTACAATCCCAGCTGTCAGCCTGGGTTTTTTTTTTTTTTTTTGTCAGGGGACAGGGTTTCTCTGTGTAGCCCTGGCTTTCCTGGAGCTCACTTTGTATTCCAGGCTGGCTTCAAATTCACTTTCCTCTGCCTCCCAAGTGCTGGGATTAAAGGCCTGTGCCACCAGACCCAGCATCAGCCTGTGTTTTGAAATGGTAAAACTCATGAGAGGAACAATACACCAGTGTGCTGTCCTCAGGCTGCATGACGTGACTTCTGTGAACTTCCTAGCGCATAGTGAGTCATCAATGAGAACCACAAAAGCAGGCATAGCAGTGCATGCCTGTAATGCATGAACTTGGGAGATGGAGGCGGGAGGTTCACAAGGTCAAGGTCATCCTCAGCTATGTGGCAAGTCAGAGGCCAGTCTGGGCTACATGCGACCCTGTCTCAAAAGTAAATTTTACACATCCTCTAGACATGGTATCTCACTTTGTTGAAATCCTGCTGAGTAGATGGCATTGTTGCCTGCTTGTTACAAAGGGACAATCCATGGGTGACTTATGACGGCTCAGAGCCACACGGTGAGCAAAATGGAGTTGGCCAAGAGTCAGAATTTGAATCCCATGATCTCTTAGAGCAGTCACAGAGCTGTGGGCTCAGAAGGGCAGGGATGGTGGTGCCAGACACCAAGGTTCCTACAGTCAAATCTGTGTTCTCTAGGCACCATCCTTTGTCCCCCGTCTGAGCCCAAGGACTGCTCCAAGGGGCCTGGATTCTCACAGGCAACCCTGGCTGGAAGTGTGTGCCTTTCTCTGTCATTCTCAGTTGCCAGCAGCCCATTTTCTTCTTTGATACACATACATGGTAGTCTTCCACACCCAGGGCCTGGCCTTTGTGTGTAATCTTCCTTTTTCTTTCATTCCCTTTTCTTTCTTTTTACATTTTTATTTATACGTGTAGTAAGTGTATATGTGTGTATTGTGTGCATGTGTGTGTATGTTCGGAAATGTGGGGGGGGGCATTCATGTGTGAATGCGTGTATGTGTCCAAGGAGGACACAGGCGGGCTTCAGCTTCTCTAGAGCCAGAGTGACAGATGGTTGTGAACTACCCTGTGGGTGCTGGGAACGGAACTCAGGTCCCCTGGAAAAGCAACACATATTCTTAACCGCCGAACCATCTCTCCAAGCCCCCATTCCACTTCTCTCTCATATTTCTCTACAACACAGAACACCTCTTGGACTTCAGACTAGCCATTCTGTTAGTCATCTCACCAAACCATTGATCTCACCAATAAAACAGCTATGCTGATACGCAGCTTGTTCTGAAAATTAAACCTAATAACGTGGTTAAATGCCTGGTACAGCAGTTTTTCACTAAGTGGGAATGCATGACTACTCTTCCTGTGAGGACAAGCTGACGCCACCTTCTGTGTGCGACATTGTCTCGCTCTGGTGACAGGCTTATTACGGTGCATTCTTAATGCATTTTACTTAAAATAGTAAGTCTAGTTTTGTGTCACCCACTGGGACGAGCCCACCTATGAAGGATAGAGATAAGCTTTCCTTCTCCCTTTGTCCTGGAGCATGAGTGAGAAAACAGCTAAGTGCCTCTTAAATATTTATGAGTGTACTGGTGACACCAGCGTTCCACTGTGGCTTTGCTTTCGGGAGTGTAGCCAGCCGCCAAGTTGCCTTCCCAGCCTCCAGGTCACAGTGATTCTGGGAATCAGGAGTTGTCTGATGGGGTGTGACCTGATATGCAGCAGGACAGGGACTCAGTGTGTGAATCTCTGTCATCAGCCAAAAGCCTTTGTGACAGACTGTCCTGAGTTGAGTCTTTGTTTCCCCAGTGACTTGCAGGAAGAGTTCATCTCTCCATGCGGAGCCTGCCGACAAGTCATGAGAGAGGTAAGAACTTGGTTTCTCCCTGGAAAGCAAGCCTGAGGTCTCTTAGAGGCCACACCAGATTGCCAGTGTAGACAGTTACTTCCCGGGCTATTCGGCTGGCTGATTCCTGTGGTCTTCCTGGGTTCACATGAGCTGCTGGAAATGAGTCCCTCTGTAGCACAAATAAAAACCCAGAGACAGATGTTGGGGTTCAAGCTGAAGATCAGAAAAGCAGAGCAGCCAACCCCTAGAGAGTTCTTAACTCTACCAATGTTGGGGCCATCCTGTCCTCAGCAGACTGAATACACTGCGCTCCTATCTCCACCCATCTGACATTCCTCTCCAGTGCTGGGATTAAAGGCGTGTAGCACCACCGCCCAGTTTCTGTGGCTAACTGATGTGGCTGCTGGGATTAAAGGTGTGTGTCAGCACTGCCTGGTCTGTATGGCTAGCTAATGTGGCTGCTTCGCACTCTGATCTTCAGGCAAGGTTTATTTGTTAGATCTATAAACAAAATATCAGCACATCCCTCTTTCAACATATACATACTGACAACTCTCTTGATGCCAGGCCCTGAGCCAGCTCTGGGGATAAGCCAGGCCAGGCTTGCCCTCACTGAGCTTCGAGCAGCTGTGACAAAATACAGGAAAGGAAGTTGGAGGACAGAGAAGCAACAAGGGGACAAAGAACAAGAAACTCTAGCCCGTAGGCCAGTCCCAGCATTCCTCTTGATTGTACATAACTGTGGTAGGGGACAGCTATGCCCAGTCGCTGCTCCACCGGTGGTGAGCACTCTGGCCCTGTGGCAGCAGGGCTAAGCAGTTACAGGAGAGCCACACAGCCTGGGAGACCTGAAATACTTCCTATTTGTCCTTTGTCAGCAAAAAACTTTGCCACCTTATGCTCTAGTGGCCAGGAAGGTCCTCTCTTTGAAGGTGACATTCTAGTAGAAACATAAATCATGAAAAGCAATGAGACAGAATGTTCTAGAGAAGGATAATTCTAGACAGACAGGCCAGCGGGTTTCACACAGACTTAGATGTTTGCTATGTGGTCAACAGCAGAAGGACAATGGGCAGTGGGGGGTGGGGAGCAATGGGATATAGAATCACAGGCTTGGGCTGAGGCCGTGTCACATGGCTGTACCAGCCAGGGAACAGTGTATTCCAAAATAAAGGGAACCGAGTTATGCACTTAAAAATGACAAAAGTGGCATATGCCTGTAATTACAGAACTCAGGAGTCAGTGGGAAGTTAGCTGCAAGTTTGCAGCCAGCTTGGGCTATGTAGCAAGTTCCAGGTCAGCCGTGGCTGTCCAACAAGATCCTGTCGTAAAACATACAAGCAAACCCGGGTATTGGTGACACACACTTTTAATCCTAGCACTCAGGAGGCAGAGGCAGGTGGATCTCTGTGAGTTCGAGGCCAGCCTGATCTACAAAGTGAATGCCAGGATAGTCTCCTCGAAAACAATACAGAGAAACCCTGTCTCAAAAAACCAAAATAAATAAATAAAACATACAAGCAAACAAACAACAAAATTGATAAAGGAGAGAGGGTGTGTGTGTATAAATGGAAAATGAAAAAGGATATGAAGCAAGTTTTGCTAGTTTGTCTTGGTTTTTTGAGACAGGGTTTCTCTGTCCTAGAACTTGCTCAGTAGACCAGGCTGGCCTCAAACTCACAGAGACATGCCTGCTTCTACCTCCTGAATTCTGGGATTAAAGGCCTGTGGCAGGTGTGTGTGTGTGTGTGTGTGTGTGTGTGTGTGTGTGCATGTGTGTGCGAGCGCACGCACATGTGTGCACACGCCACAGTACAAATGTGGAGGTCGGAACTTTTGAAAGTCCATTCTCTCCTTCTACCATGTTGACCTCAGGCAGCCAACTCACATGGTCAGGCTTGGCAGCAAGCACTTTTGCCTGCTGAGCCATCTTGCTGGCCCTGGAAGGTTTTACAAAACGTACCAATATGAGGCTTCGATTTTGTTAACTGTGGAAACAAAAGGGTGGTTTGGATGGTGAGTTAGCTGGCTGGCTGCTTTTGCTGTCCTGGGGATGGATGGAACCCAGTATTTACTAGACAAATACTCTACACAGTGCCCAACCTTGACCATGGGTTTTCATTCAGGCCCAGTGGGGGCTTCTGGTGTTAATGTTGGGGGATGTCAGGAAGATTTAAGATTCTCAAAGGATCCTATGCCCTCTAGGATCTTCCCAAATGAAAACCACAAGCCCAGAGAATCCCAAGCATGGCCTTTGAGCTTGCTATGAGAATACTGAGAACCTGACAGCCCTACCTAAGCCCAGGACAGACTCAGGTGTCATCCTTTCTATCTCCAGTAACATCAAGGGAGAGCGACCAGCCCATGAGGAGCTGGTATCAATGGCAGCCAAGGCTGGCTCCAGACTCACTGCCCCTCTCACGGCCTATGCCTCCTGGAGCCACACCCCGGACCACTGTGCAGGAGAGTGTGGGTTTTGCCACAGCACGGGTGTGTGCTGCCTGTTCAGCAAGCATTCTTGCGTTGGAGCTGGTGCTGGAAGAAGGGCAGTTGGCTTATTTGTCTGTCTTATGCTTCCCAGTCCTGCAGTTCACAGAGCCCATCTCCCAAGTCCAGATGGAAAAGCCACCCCAGAGGCATTTATTCTCAGGGTGAACTTCACCTCACCACAGAGGGGTGGGCCCAGCAGCCCAGCGCAGTGACCATGTCTAAGGACACCAGCAAGCACCGAATTTCTGGGACCCAAGGCCCCAACTTGATCCACTTGCTTGTGGCCATTTCCTCCAAAAGGATTAGATGCTGGCAAAGGACAGAGAGGGAGAGGGGGAGGGAGGGAGGGAGAGAGAGAGAGAGAGAGCAAATGAAATTATCTGGAGGGGAGAGGAATCATGAAACCAAATGTGAACAATGTGCCATGAAGCCTGGGAAGCAGGGACCTGGCATCCAAATCCTCCTACATCTAGCTCACACCTATACCCTCAGGCACAGCCTGCCAAGCAGGAAATTTTCCTCCCTTGAAACCTTAATTCTGAAAACCCCCAAAGACTGATGGAGTCTGGGAACAGCTCCGATTCAGACAGATGTGTGGAAAACAGGAGGCCGTGGACCAGCCATGGCTGGCAGCCCACACATCAATCACGGTGCCACAGCCTCTGTGAACTGAACACCTACTAAATGCCAGGGTCCATGAATCTCAGCATGCCTGCCAGGAGATGCTAGGTCTGTCGACTCTGTCACTGACTTAACTCTCCACCCACCCACCCCCTAATGCCCTTTCCTATCACTAAAATACCCCACAGATATAAACAATGGGCCCCATAGGAGCCACCGCGAGGCTGGTGTGGGAGAAAGTTCTGGATACGTGTTCGCCTTTGCTGATGTGTTACTGTGGGAAAGCACCTGATCAAAGCAATTTAAGAACTGGTTATTTGGGGCTTACAGTTCCAGAGGGTTAGGGTCCCTGATGGGAGAGATAGCAGACTGTGGTGGCTGGAGCTGAACGCTCACATCAGGAACAATACTCGGGAAACGGTGAATGCGCTGGAAACCCCCAAAGCCTGCTTTCGGTGTCACTTCCTCTAGCCTCACTTCCTAACCCTCCCCAAACTGCCTACCAACAGGGGACCAAGTTCCAAATGCGACAGTGCTTCCAAACCACCACAGCTGACTTAATACCACTAAGACTCAGTTTCTTCCACAGTAAAATAAACATAGTGGGAGCAACCACCTCCGCTGGTAGGTAATGCTGTAATGCAAGTGTAGTATGTTGAGTGTCATCACACAGACACAAACTCCTCCTGGAATGAGGCACAAAAGTGAGCCTGTAAGGAGCAGCAGATGTTAGCTGTCATTGCCATTGCAGAAGGAAGCCTAGCTTTAGGGCATAGACTTTTTTATTATTATTTTTAATTATGCCTACGCATCTGTGTGGGGATGTGTGCACTCAAACACAGTTGCCCACAAAGGCCAGAAACACCAGCTCTTCTGGAGCTGGAGTTACAGGAAACAGTGAGCCTCCCAGCGGAGGAACTGAGAATCAAATTTGGCTCCTCTGAAAGAGCACTGCTTGCTTTTAACCACCGAGCCATTTCTGCAGCCCAAGGCACAGGTATTCAACAGTAGCTAAGAAGATGGCTCATTTGTGTGCAACCTTGAGGACCAGAGTTTGCATCCCCAGAAACCCACATAACTGGGAGGTGGTCTAGGGAGACACCTGTAATCCCAGTCTTTGAAGGCAGAGACAGGATCCTCACAGCAAGCCGGCTGGCAGGACTAGCCCTGTTGGTTGAGCTCTGGGTTTGATGGAGAGACCCTGCCTCGGTGAATGTTATGAGCAGTTTTCCTGCCATCCTGGTCCCAGAGCCGTATCAGCCCCAAATAACACACAGAGACTCTGTGTTAGTTATAAATCTGCTGGCCTGTTACTAGTATTTCTTATTGGCTAGCTCTACCTAAATATTAACCCATTTCTATCAACCTAAATATTTCCACGCGGTGTTGGCTTACCGGGAATGCCAAACCTATGTCTCCTTTGCCTGCTACATCTCTGCAGAGAAGACAGAGATTTCCTGTTTGTCCCTGCTTATATTCTGAGTCTGCCCAGCTATGTCACTTCCTGCCTGTCTGAACAGACCTCCAGACCTCTGTGGTTAGCTAGTGGCAGTATCTGCCATGCTACATCAATTCCTGCCTGGCCAATCAGTGTTTTATTCATCAACCAATAAGACAAGCATAGATACAGAAGAACATTCCCCATCAAGTGAATACTATGGATGGCCATGGAGGATGATTCAAGCCCCAACCCTTGGGCTTCTACATGCATATGTTCCCACACATACATATGCACACATGTATAACACACATACAAGAAAACGTATTTGTATTTTTATAAAGCTCTTGGGGGCAACCTCTAGGGACTGCCCATGGCCCATCAACAGCAGGCCATGCACTCTGCTGTTGACTGGTGGTGTCCTTCCACTGATCCCTCCTCAGGCTCTGTGACATTTGACAGGAGAGAGACTGAGGCACAGAGGACCATTAGACAGAAAGTCGTAGGGTCAGATTCCCTGGCGTCTCTCACAAGTTTGCTCTCTTTTCCAGTTTGGCAGCGACTGGGCCGTGTACATGACCAAGCCAGATGGCACGTATGTAATCAGGACAGTCCAGGAGTTGCTGCCAGCCTCGTTTGGGCCTGAAGACCTGGAGAAGATTCATTAAAGGCTAGAGAATAGAATGCCTGCCTGTGTGGGTCTGGGTTCCCAACTAAGGGAAGAGTTCATAGAGATAACTGTCCCTGGCTGGGCCTGGAGTCACCTGCCACATGGGTCCCAAATGGCTAGGCAAGGGAGACCTTGCCACAGTCTCCCCAAGAATGATGAAAGCTGTCACTCAGTTTGGGCCAAAGCCTGCATCCTCTTGGAGACTCCACCCCCTCCTGTCCCTCCTATAGGCCCTGGCATTCTAGGCCTGGCCTGCCTCCCTGCCAGCCTTCCTAGCTTCCTCCAAGTCCTGTTCCATGTTATTTTTCTGATTGTAAACTCCACAGAACATCCTGGCTGAAAAGAACATGTTTTTGCTCTTAGTCCCTGTGTGCAGCTCTGAGGGCGTGGCTCATCTCGCAGGGTGGTCTTAGTGTTGTCTTCAGGCGGAGGATGTGGGTGCTTCTCAGTGCACTGCACGGCTCTAAGCGGCGTCTGAGGTCGGAGGCTCCTTGCCCCTGTGTTCTTGACTGGAAGCCCTTAGGCAGGGTTCGATTCTAGGAGCTCACTTGCTATAGTGGCTATAGTGTGGGCATGGGTGGGAAGCTGGGCCGTTGGGGGGTCCCTGGAGGATATGGAGGTATCCAGATGTCTTCCTCCTCCTCACTTCCTGTCTATGAGGTGAGCTGATCTTTACCACACATTCACAGTGATGTGCACCTCCCCAGCCAGAGGCTGAAGGTCAAGGGGCCCAGGAGCCAGACCCCCAAAAACTGTAAGGCCAAATAAATCATAAGCTGATTTGTTACAGGGTGGGGAGCTGACTGACACACCACTGCTGGGGCTGGTTTGGGCTTAATAGAGACCCGAGTCTCTATTACCCGAGTCTCAGACATTTTTTTGGGGCCACCAGTTCACAAATAACGACATGACATGGAGACTTTTTAATTAATTAAGAAAGCTTAGCCTTAACTAAGGCTTGTTTTTGACTAGCTCTATCTACAAGCTGCCTCGTGGCTTTAACCTCTCCTCCTGCATGTCCTCTGTGTCCAATTGGCAGCTCTCGTGCACCTAGATTCATCTTTCTCTTCCTTTCTCTCCCTGGGAATCCCACCTATATCCTGTGCTTAGCTATTGGCCGTTCTTCTTTTTATTACACCAGTTACAGCAATGCATCTTCACAGTGTACAAACATCCCACAGCAGCCACCCACTGCCACAGCTGTGATAGCATAGTGTAAGGGGAAGCATGGGCAAGGTAGGGAGGCCATCTCTCAGGACCCACTAAGTGCCACATGCTTTTATACTACTCTTTGTTTTCAGTGCTCAGTGATTTTGGGAGCTGGCCGTCACCTCTCTTTTTTAGGCCATGGGTCAGAGTAGCTGCGAGCTTGCTTGACAGTCATGGCAGAGTTCAGCAGAGAATCCAGATCCCGGCACTCTGGGGAGGCAGAGGCAGGCAGTACTCTGAGTTCGAGGCCAGCTGGGACTACATAGGGAGGTTTCAGGGCAGCCAGGATGACATAATAAGATCTGTCTCGACCAAAACAGAAAGGTCCAGATCCCTTGACCCCACAGTGACCTGGAAGCTGTGCACTCTGCTGAGGTTTTTGATGTGTATGAACTCACTGCACCCTCACTTATCAAACCCAGAGGTGGTTTTGCTTTCATTTTTATCAATAAACACATCAAAGACCAGAGAAGTTAAATCATTTCCCAAAGTCAAACAGCCATGCGGAGCAAGGAAGTGAGTCGGCTCTGGTTCTGAACAGCTTTTACCCCATTCTGCACATCCGGGACTGTTTACTGAGTGTCTTTCCTGTCAAGTATGCTGAATTCTGCAGAGAGAACAACATAGAAGAAACTGTCTGATCTTGAGGAATGCTTAGTATGAAGTGAGGGATCGGATAGATTTAATGCACAGGATGAACACTAGCCAGGGAAGGACAGGGATGTACACTGTGACCAGGGAGAAATAGGCATGCACACTAACCAGGGAAGGACTGCTTGCTTTGTGCATTGGTAAGCACACACACACACACACACACACACACACACACACACACACGCACACTAAAACAAATAATGTTTAAAGAAAGTTTGTGCTGTGGATTAAATAACCTTCAGGTTGTGTGGGTTGGCCTAGGTTGTTTCACTATTCTGTGACTCTGTCTCCACATCTGTAAATGGGACTGTTGTGAGGGTCTGAATGAAACCATGCAAAATTAAAAAAAAAAAAAAAAAACTAGCTGGGAGATGGTGGCACACACCTTTAATCCCAGCACTGGGGAGGCAGAGGCAGTCGGATCTCTGTGATTTTGAGACCAGCCTGGTCTACAAGAGCTAGTTCCAGGACAGCCTCCAAAATCACAGAGAAACCCTGTCTCGAACCCCCCCCCAAAAAAAACCCTAAACAAAACAAACAAAAAGCATGTTTAAGCCACATATGGTGGTATGTGCCTGCAATCCCAGTGTCTGAATTGGGTTTCTATTGCCAGGATGGAGCACCGTGACCAAAAGCATCTTGGGAAGGGAGGGAGGGTTTTATTTCATCTTACACTAACACATCACAGTCCATCATGGAGGAAAGTCAGGACAGACACTTGAGCAGGAGCCTGGAGGCAGGAACTGAAGCAGAAGCCATGTTGAAAGCCTGCTTGCTACCTGCCGGGCGGTGGGGCACACACCTTTAATCCCAACACTGGGGGGGGGGGGGGCAGAGGCAGGTGGATTTCTGTGAGTTCCAGGCTAGCCTGGTCTACAAAACTACACAGAGAAACCCAGTCTCAAAGAAAAGAAAAGGGGGGGGGGTGTCAAGACAGGTCTTCCCAGTTGGGAACATACAAAGGATTGTACCATGAAGCACTGGGGGGTCTGGGAAGGGTAAAAAAACAAGGCACGAATACCTGTACTTCATGAAAGCAGGCAGAGGAAGACATTATTCAATGGAAACTTCCAGAATTTAGTTGAACAGTATCCCCTAGAAGAACTATAGTTATTGACCCAAGAGAGGCTGGGATATTAAAGCCAAAACATTTTCACTTGGCAACTGGATGTACAGCACACTGCCACGTGGAGTTTCCAGAGCCCCGAGTGCTGTATTGTTCTGTGTGTCGGTGTCTTCAGAACCTGAAGAAGCAGTCCCAGATTCCGATGGAAATAAACACAGGTGTGTGCACTTCATCTGTTCTTGCCAGCTGCTGCTTGCCTCTTTCAGTCCCAGGATGCTTGAGGAGTTCCTCTGGGCAGAAACAATGTCACAACTCCAATGACAGACCTAGCACTGCACAGTGCCTGTATCTCAAATGAAAGCCACCATTCATGAACAAGTACTTGAGCAGTAGTTGAGCATAGTAGTGTGGATCTGGAATCTGATCTCCCTGGAAGCTAAAGTAGGAGGAACTTGAGTTTAAGGCCAGTCTGGGTTACATAGTGATTTGAGAGCCAGCCTGGGCGATTTAGAAAAACCCCATCTGAAAAAGGAAGATTGGGGCTAAAGATGTGGCTCAGTAGGCCAGACAGTGGTGGCCCATACCTTTAATCCCAGCACTCAGGAAGCAGAGGCAGGTGGATCTCTGGAGTTCAAAAACAGCCTGGTCTATGGAGCAAGTCCCAGGACAGCCAGGGCTACACAGAGAAACCCTGTCTCAAAAAAACTAAAAACAAAACAAAAAAAGATTTGGCTCAGCAGTTAAGAGCATTTAGCATGGGGGTGAGATGGGGGAGTTGGCGGGGGGGGGGGGGGGGGGGGGAGAAGGGGGAATGGGAGGAAGGGAGGGAGAGGAAACTGGGATTGGTATGTAAAATAGATTGTTTCTAATTGAAATAAAAAGTTATATATAAAAAAGGAGTGTTTAGCAGGTACTGCTCTTGCAGAGGACTGGGATTCATTTCCCAGCACCTGTATCAGGTGGCTTGCAACTGCCTAGAACTTCCCATCCAGTGGACCCAACACCCTTTTCCTGCTTCCATAGTCACCTACACACACGTGATGCATATCATGTCACACAGGAACACACATATAGACAGAAATCAAAATAAATACATAACAATAATAAAAAGGATTGAGGCAGGTGGATCTCTGTGAGTTTAAGGCCAGCTTGATCTACACAGTGAGTTCCAGGACAGCCAGGACTATGTAGGGAGACTTTGTCTCAAAAGACAATAAACAAATAGTTTTGTTTTTAAGGGCTAGGGACATAACTCAGTGGCAGAGTACTCACCTAATATGTGCAAGGCTCCAAGTTCAAGCCACAATATTGCAAAAGAAGAAAGATGGGCTGGTCGGGTTGGGGGGGGAGACAAAACAGAGTTTGGGGGTGTAGCTCGGTGTATACAGTGCTTGTCTAGTATGTGCGAGGCCCTGATCATCCCAGCACCACAAAGATAGAGAGTGGAGAGAAAGATCATAGAGATAGATAGACAGAAAGTAGACAGATGATAGATAGTAGATGACAGATGAATAGATGATAGTAGATAGATAGTAGACAGATGATAAATTGATGATAGACAAATGACAGGTAATAGATGATATAGACTCTAGATTGTGATAGATAAATGATAGAAGGTAGAGAGATAGTTAGGAATAGATGGTCTGGAGAGATGGTTCAGTGGGTAAGAGCACTGGTTGCTCCTCCAGAGGACCGTGGTTCAATTCCCAGCATCCACATGGCAGCTTACAGATGTCTATAACTCCTGTTCCAGTGGATCCAGCATCCTCATGAATGCACATAAAATAAAAATAAATAAATTTAAAAAAATAGATGGGTAATGATGATAGATAGATGATAGATTAATGACAGTTAGCTTACTGAGTCTCAGACATGGACATTTCATAAGTGATCGTATGAGCAGACATGGACAGAGGCTGAACCAGAAGTCTGTTGACATGGTTTCAACTGTGTGATGAAAAATCTAAGGGGAAAATTAAAAGCTCTACAAGCACAGAGGGAAATATAAGGCACAGGTTCTATCAGCTCCCTGCCACTCTGTGAAAATCGCCAGCAAGCATGTTATTAGCTCAGTTTCTCTGGGTCTGGGCTGAGATGAGTCTTCGGCTCTCTCGAAAGGCTTCACAGAAGGTATGAGCCTGAGTTGCCAAGTCATCTGAAGACCAGAGTGGTGCAGGTCTGCAAAGCTGACACACAGCTGATGACAGATTTGGCTCCTCACAAGAGGCTGCTGTTATGACTGGGTTCCTTGTTGTCGTAGGGCAGTTAGCAGCATGGCAGCTGGGTTCTCTCAGAATAAGCAAGAAGGAGGAGCTGAGCTTTACAGAAAACCAAATCTCTCTGTAGGCCACATACTGTATACTTCCATGACACTGTGACCAAAATGCCTGGTGATAACTTTTTTAAAAAAGATGTATTTATTTATTATGCATA